CCCCCCCCCCTCCTCATTTTAACACTTTTCTGCCTATGGACAATTTTTAAATGGCTGATTTAATAAAAAAATTTGTAAATAGGTAGTTCTTATAAAATAAGATCATGACCAATGTAACAAAGAATTGTGTTCATAAGCACACAAGTCTGTTACAGGGAGCTGGAAACCTGGTTACTTGCTGCAAAGTGCCTTAAAGGGTTTGCTTCTAAGTACACAGCACATATTGCTTTAAAACATATATATGTACACACAGATACACACACATGCTGTGCTACTGGGGAAAGCTCAATCTACGTGCAGTGCAAGTGACAAGTGACAGCATGAGTTTCAAAAAGTTTGCTCCTGTAAAGGAGGGGCTGTAGATATGATTTGGGTGCCCAAGCCATAGTCCCCAGAAGTAGTGCCCATATTGCTCTGGTGCTCCACTGCACTGGGTTTAACTTGGAGTGGTGTATTCCAGCTCATCCGCTAAAAGACAGTGTTGCAGCCAAGGGAAAGTCCATGGACCTAAGTGCAGGGACCCAAAATTTAGTCAGTTCGTAAAAGCTGATTGTTCCATCACAGAATAGAAACTTTTGAGTTTCTTTGCCTCTTCTGTAACTCAGAGCAAGAAAAGGTAGGGGTTTTTTTTCTCATAAGGAATGCTTATTTCATGCAAGGTTTTCTTTAAAAGGTTCAACATTGACCATAAACATGGGCATCTAGGTTCAGAAGCAAATACAGATTTTTCTGTCACTTTAGCACTGGCTTTCTAAGGAGATACCACAAGATCCAGCATAGAAAGTTAATGCCCATCTCCTTCCCTAAGCATTAGAAAACCAGATTTTTCTCAGTTGTACTTAACAAAAGTTATGAAAAATAATGTTCAAACTATAACTTCAAAAGCTCTGTTCATGCAGTAGCATCCCTATAAAAGGTCTTTCAAAAACCGTGTTTTCTACTCTTGGCCTTTTTCTATTTTTAATCTTTCATATTTCCTGATTGTATTTATTTTGACCTCCATCAAGTGGTTTCTCTATTACTGTTATTTTTGCAATTTTATGGTATTCTTGTAGCTTACTGTATTCTCTTTGATCTCCTCCCTTTCAGCTTTTTCTTGGGTCTTTTTCATCTTTAAAAAAAGTTTTCTTCTTTTTCTTTTTGTATCTCTGTCTCCCAAGTGCAAGCCTTTATTTTGCATTAGCAGGTAAATGTTTGGAAACCATAAAGAGTCACAAAGATTCTGGAATTTTCTACTGCTGAACACAAAATATTTCAAATTCTTGCTTCAAAGGCTTTCAGGAACAAAGAAGCTTTTCTCAGACCACTAGCGAATCCACCAAGTTCAAACGAACTGTCTTTGCCAGCAGAGATGAACTAATAACAGAACAGCATAGTCTTGCAAGAGTAGCCAAATATGTTAGGGGAACAAACATATCCTTGACATCATAAGAAAAAAATCACAGTTTATCTCTTTAATAACCATCTTCAAGGGAAATTAATGCTACTTTGTCCTTTGTGCAGAACAGTAATTGGATTGTGTGTTTCAATTATATCTGGACAAAGGCCAGGATATTGAAATACTTCTAAATATTAGATTTTCTTGTCCAAAAATTAGATTTTATTGGCATTCTCTTTCCGAGATTTCTTCATTAAAAGCTTCATTAAGCATAAATCTTCTTTCCACACAGCAAAAAAACTAAATTATTTTAAAAGGGTCATTTAGAAAGGTTTGCCCTCCCCTTCTCCTACTGTTTATACTGAGAGAAGAGTTACCTAACAAGGTTAGAAGCCAACCTGCCTTACCTAGGATGGTTTTCGGCTAGTTGCTTGAACTCGTTGTCCCAGTTTGGCCTTCCGTAGCGGGTCTTCTGTCTCAAACCAGTAATTACATCCATCTTGTCATCATAATGTAGGGCTATGTGAGTAGCCTAAAGGCAAATTTACAAGACAATAATTTTAGAGTCAACAATGTATACTCCAAGTAAGAGGAGAAAGCAATAACGCTGCTTTGTGGTGAAAGACAGAAGTATTAATGAGGGAAAGGAAACTGTCTAATTATCAAATGGAAGGAAGAGGGGAGAGGAGAGGAGAGGA